ACCATCGAAAAGATTGGCCCAAGCAAAGTTGTTCAAGTGGTCACTGATAATGCAAGTGAAAATGTGAAAGCGGGTGGCATGATTGAAGGAGCGTACAAGAATGTCTATTGGACTCCATGTGCGGCTCATTGTATCAACTTGATGTTCGGGGACATTTTCAAGGAAAAACCCTTCTTTACAGTTTTTGGCCAGGGCATTAGGGTACATTCTTATATTTCTCAGCGACCCTTGTTATCGAATATGATGAGAAGATTCACCATGCAAAAAAATTTGGTGAAACCGGGCAAGACAAGGTTCGCCGCTGCTTTCTTGACTTTGCATAGTATCCACTTGCAAAAACGCAATTTGAGAAAGCTGTTCACTTCAGAGGAATGGAGCAAGAGTAAATTTGCAAAGGAAAGTGCGGGGAAAGAGGTTGCACGCATTATTCTTTCTTATTCTTTTTGGAATAATGTCCTTCATGCTCTTAAAATTGGTGGCCCTTTGGTTAAAGTACTCCGTTTGGTGGATGGGGAGCAAAAACCACCAATGGGCTACCTCTATGAAGCTATGGATAGGGCCAAGGAGGCTATTCAAGCATCATTCNAAAGGCTATTTAGCATCATTCACTGATGAGCAGAAATATGCAAAGGTCTTTCAGATCATTGATGCAAGATGGAATGAGCAACTTCATAGACCTTTGCATGCAGCTGGACTTATTCTGAACCTGTCACTCTTTTATGATCAGTATGAGAATAATTCATTGGGTAAAGAAGTGTGGACAAGATTTCATCAGGTTGTTATCAAGTTGACCCCAGATGAAGAATTGCAAGAAAAGATAGTAGATCAGCTTGCTACTTACAAGGCAGTTGAAGGACTTTTTAAGCTCCGACTTGCTATTAAACAAAGAAAGACGAAGTCGCTAGGTGACCAAGTATTTCTATATTTTATAGCTCTAACTTCAATGTATTTTTTATACTTATTAACTCTTGAACATTTTTTTTGACTTCTATAGTTGAGTGGTGGGACCAATATGGTGAAGAGACTCCGGAGTTACAAACTTTCGCCATCAAAGTTCTAAGTTTAACTTGTAGCTCATCCGGATGTGAAAGGAACTGTAGTATTTTTGAACACGTGAGAAATAAAAAGAATTATTTCGTGTTTTGAGATAAAGTAAATTATATCTCAATTGTCCAAACTCCTACTAATTAGTTGACACATCTTGTTTGCAAATTCATACAAAGAAAAGGAATCGACTAACCTTGAAGCGCCTCTATAATCTAGTGTTCATAAAATACAATAGAGCATTGAGGCGTCGCTACAACCACCGCAATATAATTGATCCAATTCTTTTGGACAATATTGACGAGGCTAATGAGTGGCTAACCGGAGTTCCCGAAAATTGTGAAGATGAAGAAGTATTTGAAGGCGACTCCGATTTCACTTGGGGTGATGTTGCGGTTGGTAGTGGAGTTAGGGAGAATCCTTATGGTTTAAGAAGATATACTCCAAGTTCAAGCTCGATTAGGAAGGGAAAAAGTGTGGCTACCACAAGTCGATCCTTATCCCTAATTGATGAAGATGAAAGAGGAGGGGGAAGAAGAAGATGACGAGCAATATGAAGATAATAGAGGAATTCAAGATTTTGACAATCTTGAAGAAGAAGAAGAACAAGAATAGAAGAATAAGATGTTGATTCTAGTAATTTAGTAGCTTTGATTTTGCTTGTCCTATGGTTTGTGGATGATTTGGTGGTATCTAGTACCTACTTTTAAGTTTTTAAATTGAAGTTTTTGATTATTTATAATTTTACTTTATGTTTTTTAAGAATTGCGCTTCACTTTAATAAAGCGTGCGCTTCGCTTTTGAAGCGAGGCGGCCCTTGTCGCCTTTTTGCGTTTCGCGCTGTCAAAAACACTGGCCTAAATTGGTTCATCTCATAAGGTTAAAGACTTAATCGAGAGAGGAGTTTCTGTTGAACGTTTGAACTAATAATAAAGTGAATTCAAGAGACTCACTTGAAGATTGGAAGTGAATTATTTAGAGTTAGATCCCGAACAATTATGTTGCACCTATCCTGTCAAGACCCTATCTTCTCCCACTGATAACCTTAGTTGCTTATTCCTTGTCTCGATAGTCATTAGTCAATAGTTTTAGATTCTTAGTTAATTTCAATTCTTAGTCATATAAATCTCAATTGTTGATCCTCCTGGATAGCAATCAAGCTAGAAACTACGAGATTACTGTTTAAACCCAATCCACGTGGATATGATATTATATTATGCTATCTTTGATTAACGAGCACAATTTAAGTGTGTGTTTTGCGCTTGTCAACCACAACCTTGGGTGCACCAAATAACGACATAGAGCCCGTTTGGATTAGCTGACTGTAAATAGTTGATAAACTTGAAGTGTTGAAAAATATTTTTAAGTGCTGAAACTGATTTTTTAAATAAGCATTTACGTGTTTGGATACACATGCTGAAACTGATAACAATTAGTTGATGTGTTTGGTAGAAAAGTGATGATAACAACGGCAACAACATACCCAGTATTATCCCACATTGTAGGGTCTGGAGAGGGTAGTGTGTACGCAGACCTACCCCTACCTTGTGAGGATAGAGAGATTGTTTCCAATAGACCCTCGGCTAAGGAAGAAAAGTGATGATAAGTTGTTCTTTTATTAAAATGACTAAAATATCCTTAAAAACTTTACAAAAGATTATAAATTAAAAAGTTTTTTTTAAAGAAAAAGATGAACAACGAATATGGAATGAAAATAAAGTTAGAAAATTTATATTGGGAATAAAATTTTGTGAATCAGAAAATATTATTAAAGATAAACTAGTAAAAGCCTTGGTCAAACTAAAAGTGCTTATAAGTTAAAAAGTCATAAGTTGGTCACCAACTTATGACTTATGACTGATTTTAGCTTATAAGCACTTGACTTATAAGCATTTTGGGTGTTTACCAAACGCGTAGATGAGCCAAAAGGTGCTTATAAGCCAATTTTACCAGCTTGTAATCTTAGCCAAACACCCTCATACTTGCTTCTCCTTCTAATTTAAGTATACACACAAGCACAGTTTAAAAAGTGCAGCAAATTTGTTCCCTTCACACATGTACAACTATCAAATACCAATATCACTTAAATGTACTACATATTCATCCTCAAGAAAACAGTCTAGTAGCTAAGAGTCCATAACGATTTAAAAAAAAAAAAAAAAAGGAAAAACGCACTATGTTTTTTACATTTGATTCTAACATGTATTTACTAACTCAATAAATCGACAATAAACTTGAATAGTGAAGAAACTTACAATGCGATCCTGTAAGATTTTAGCGCCCTCGGCAACTGCGTGACCGGCGTGTTGAACGACGGAGTCGGCGTAGTTCTTAACAGTGCGTGTGAGGTTGTTATTCCCAACCTCCACCGCTTTATTCATGGCTGATCTCAACCACGACATTTTCAATTGAAAATTTCAGCTTCAAATTAGGGTTTCACAACAGAGAAGAAAGAAGGAGGAGGAGGAATTTAGAAAAATGGCGTCGTTTGTTGATTTTTATTATAGTGAAGAGGAAGAGTAAGATCGTGCATGCAAATGCTGCAAAGTGTTGCGCTGTGGACAAAGTTGGGATTATTGTGAATTGCGTGCGAAGAGCACTGTTTTAGACATATTCATGGTCCACCACCATGGGAAATTCAATTTTTGTAAAATTACACTTAGACCACAGAAGTTTTATTTTACTCCAATTTCCTTTTTTTTTTTTGATAAACTAGAAATTTTATTCATTAGAAACTACTTAATAACAGTCCTTTGATCCATTGGATCATTACATAAAGAAGATAACCGATGCATGGCATGGAGATTACCAAGCTTAGCTAGTTGCCTACAGACATTAATAGAAACAGTCTTAGCATAAAAATCACCCACTATGTCCGCCAGCATCGTGGTCATGACATAAGGTGGTAGACCAACAAGACGATTAAGTTTATTAACACTTGGGAGCATAGTTGCATTCTTTGCCAAAAGATGAGCCACTTCATATCTTGACGAAAGTTATGTCGGATCATCACTATCTCCCTTCTGGAGGTTAGCCACTTGCAATTATTAATAAAAGCGTCGTAAGTTACACATCATGGTTAATGTAATTTAATATCCATGTTGCGTCTGTTTCCACTTCCAGTGGATATAGTTTCATATCCCAGGCGAGTTGTACACCTCGGTATAGTGCTTGTAATTCAGAGTGGATAGATGCTCTTGAGTAAGTTTTTATCTGGAATCCCACAACCCAATCTCCACTGGAGTTTCTAATTAAGCCCCTACTCCAATTTCCTTAAGAGTAGTAGCATTCAAATTATACTCAAAACTGTAAGAAGTCTTGATTTCTATTGCAGTAACAAGGTTAACTATAGTACTCCCTCTATTTCATTTTATGTTAATCTGGGTGCGAAATTTAAGAAAGACAAAAGAACTTTAATTTATGATTCAAAATATGTACAGCTAAATGATACGCTCAAATTACACTTTAATAAATAGTGTAAGGCGGTCGGTGTCAAATACAATAACCCAACAAGGTTGGGGTCGAATCCCACAGGGAATAGGTGTGAAAAGGTTACTTGATTAGTGTGTTGCTCGACTAGAGTCGTAGTTCTATCCAGTTAACGGTAGAGTATGAATTGAGTTTGATTTGAAGTAACAACTAGTTGAAATATTGAGAATGTAAATAATTTGATTAAAGAAACCAAGGTTGTGTCCCCTTTAATAAAGTGTAATTCTATCGGTGTTAATATGATATATTTCTAATGGAAGGTCTTTTTGATATGCAAATGATGTCTAAATGTCTACCCAATATTTTTCAATAGTTGGGTAGTACTTCCTCTTTATGATTTTTTTCCAAATATAAAAGAGTTGCAATTAAGAACAATCAATATATGCCAAATAAAATTCACTTATTCCTAAGCGATTCTATTAAACAAGGTTTAGAGCCTTGAGTCTTTGATATTTACTTCTTCCAAATTCCAACCCACTTTCCCAAGCAAAGCAAGAATTTAATGGCACTTGTTAATGTTTGCAACCACCAACAATAAATGAAGAATGAGAAGTAAATAAATATCACCCAACCATTATATATATATTCAATGTTAAACACCCATTAACATAACACACATTTAGGGTCCACAACCTTAGTATTTAAAGTTAGCTACACATGCTAAAATACAAAAGGAAGATACTATTTAATGCCATAAAGCTTACAAAGTGAAAGATTCTTGACCCAAAAGCTTCCAAAAGAGAGGAATATTAATGCATTGTATTGTAGCTTCAAAGTCAGACCCGATGAGCCCACAAAATCACAATAAATCTATTTATAAAGGGCCAAAAATCGAGACAGAAAACGGACAAAAATTCCCTTTCGGGTCAAGTGTGCGACCGCATTTCTGTCGCAAATCAGACATGCGGTCCGCATTCTCTTCATGCCCATCGCACTTCAAAATCCTAATTTCCAGGCCGTCGTCGCATTGTGGGTTTGCGTACCGCATTCAAGCTATGCGATTGCATTCTGCGTCGCATTTTCCACCATCAGCACTTCTCTTCATGAGTTTGCGGTCCATTATGCGTCCGCAAACCTGTTATGCGATCGCATTCTGGACCGCATTTCTTGCACCAGATTTTGGCTAACTTTCTGTTTTGATTTGCGATACTTTGCACCTTATGCGGCTCGCATGTAGGATTTGCGATCACATAATGCGTCGTATATCCACATTTTTGCTACATTTTGCTCTTTTCTTGTCTTTTTGTGGCTTTTTACTTTCATTTCCATGCTCTTGGGCCCTTAAACCTCATGTACTGCAAAAACACTAAAATTACATAAGTAAGGGAGGTAATTGCATTCAAAACAAGCTAAAATCTAAGTAATTAGTATTGAAATGTGCCGAAATTCTCCGGCACATCAACACCTCCAACTTAAACTCTTGCTTGTCCTCAATCAACTAAAACAACACTATTCTAGTCTAGACTCCATCTACCAAACATGAAACAATAATGACCATGGATGGTGTTTGTTGCTAGTACTTCAAGCATGCATCTTCGGTTGTTTTACCCTTCCTGAACCGTCAATATATACAAAGAAAACTAATCAACTTGTGAACTTTGAGCCTCAGACAATGTGACCAAATTCTACCCTCAACTGAGTGCACTTGCATTTGAATCAACAACTCAACTTGTGTTCAACCTTACAGTTCATGTGTCCTCACTAGAAAGAAAGTCCCAAAATCACAATATGTACAATAACAACAAAAAGGGACGAATTCACAAAGACACTCACTCTCAGAAAATTTCAAGTGTTTCAACATACTATACCATAGACTTGCCCTTATTTTAATTCATCGCTTTATTCTAAGAACGCTCGGTTGGGGATCCCATAAGGACTTTTTAAGTTTGTAATGTAGGCTTAGGGAAGGGTCGGATAATATTTGGATACAAGTGACTTCATCCTCCTTGAACACTACTCATAATTGTCATTCTTTTTACACTTTTTTTTTTCTTCAACCCCCATAGCCTCATTGGCATCTAGTTCCCAATATAGAACCACCTTAACTGCCTCTCTAATTTTCTTCAAGGCTCCATAATTTATATACATACAAATATTTCTCTCTTTTTTTTATAAATTTTTTTCTTTTGGAGCTTGAATAATTTCACATTTTGAGGTTCACTTTCCTACGCTCATTGTACAATCTTGCCAATTTCTAACTTTACACCACACCCCCAACTTAGACTTTTAGCCTCACTCTCAATGCTCAAGGAGGGACAGGTTCAAAAGAGGGAATTATTTCACAAAAAGGGAAAGTTTTGTAATGAGGTAGCCAAAGAAAAGGTTAAAGGCTCAAATGGGGTAACTAGTGATACTATCTGTACAATTGGTGGCTTGAAAGGCTAACTGGGTTTCCAAAAAAATCACAAAGATTGCCTAAGGTCATTTCTCCAACCAAGTGTAATTATTATAAGCATCGAAAAACCAACGGGGCAAGTTCTAGATGGCAGAAGAAAATACAAGAATTATTTACACAAAGAACTCACACACATGGCACACGAACTGTTTGGCTAACATAGTTTGAAGCCCTCGAGTCAACACTTGGCAACTCAAAACTTTCATCAGATATACAAGTATAACTCTAGGTAGACATAGAGTCACAGAGCGAGCTTTAAGTTCACACAGTTGATCTCTTTTTTTTTACATATATATGGAAGGGTATATGCTATATATAGACACACCTGCTTGAGACTAGACAATTACACCAAACCGGTCAATATGTTTCATTCTACTGTCCTGGTTCTACTATTACACCCTTGGAAAAGAACCTGGCAAAGAAAAACCAAGGGAAATTCATTGCTAATTCTTTTTGTTGTTCTTTTTGCACAAGGATAACATACTTTATGTACAGAGATCACAAAGCACTAATATATACAAATTACGAACTATACAACATAACTTATGTACGGAAATCACAAAACACTAACATACATAGAATCACAAAATACACATGAGTACATAAGTTTGTTTAATACATAAAGGCATAAATATGTACAACAGTTGCTAATGTCACAAAAGTATAAACAAGGCTACCACCCCCAACTTAAAGGCATGCATTGTCCGCAATGCATAAGAACATAGAGTAGAGTTTAAGGGGCTCCCTGACACGCACTAAGCGCTATGGGAGTCGGCAACCGGCTGAGTGATGGTGGGGTCACCCTCTGATGCTGAAGCTGGGACCGATGAGAGGTCGGCCTGAGGAGTGACCTCCACTGATGGAGGAGGGATCTCTGGCTGGTCTAGAACTAGAGCTGGGGCCTGTGAGCTGCTAGCCTCGCCCACTGAGGGCTGAGTGGCCGAAGGATCTACATGGGCGGCCAAATCTGCTAGCGAATGTTTGATTGCTACCTGAAGTTCTGCTTGCTCCACTTCCTCAACTGTAGGAGCAGCAATCTACTTACCCTTCTTCTGAGGGCCATCATCATCCGAGGACCATGAACTCTCCTCATCCTCGCCCTCATTTGCCTCCTCCTCCTCGGCCTCAGTAGATCGTATGGAAACCTCCGCATTAGGAATATCAATACGTACCGGAGGAGCTGGAGGCTTGGGAGTCCCAACTATCTGAGGCGCAATGTCTGCCATTAGGGTAGTGAAATCAAGACCCAAGTCTGGAGATGTTGTGCCTGCTCCCTGCTCATCATCCTTGGGCAGAAGGGATGATAGATCGAACTCCAAAGTCTGCATCTTGTGGAGCTCGGTATTCATAGAAGCAACCTCCTCCCTGAGTGTAGGCAAACCACTAACCTCACCGCGCTCTACCTTCTCAACCCTTAACTCAAGCTACTGCAAGCGATCCCCATACACTGTTTGTTGTTGTTGGAGAGCTGTCATGGAGGATTGTATAGGAGTTAGGGCTTGTTTGATGAGGTTGGGCAGGGTATTCAAAAGTTGGTCTACTTTGGCATTGTCATGCTGAGCAATGAGACCAAGCCTCGAGACTGTTGGTAGTGCAGCAGAAGTCTGAGCAATGGTGGACTGAGAGGCAGGCTGTGCAGTGGAAGTAGATGCAATCGGGGTCTGAGGGGACACAGGAATCTGGGACTCTGAGGGCTCTACTGG